TGCTCTGGGTTTAAAAAAAAGACACTCCACAGCCTTTCTTTATCCCTAAGTCCTGCCCAGAGACGCTTGGTAGCCAGACATTACCATTCCAGATGCCAACAAAATCCATCCACATATACGGGCAGATTCATTCCTGTGCACCTCGCTGCAATCTCAGCCTCCACCCTCCTCTCCACTCAGGATAGCTGGAGACCCACACAGACACTCACATTCGGACTTTGAGCTTTGCCTTCTACTGAGAGCAACTGGCAGGTACTATGTGGTTGGGGAGCTAAGACCTCCTCAGGGCTGCCATGAAAAGCCTCCCCTGTATGTATGTTGTCTCTGACGTTCCCTGTCATCACTGCCATGGCATTCCCACCACCCTTGAGCCCTCTGTTTCTGGTGCTATGACACAGTGGGACACTTGAGGCTAGGTTGGAGTTTCCCTGCACCATGCCAGAGAGTTTAAAATGACGATCCTCAAAGTCTCTTCCAAATAGGTAGTGTCTTCTCAAGGCCAAAGGGCAGTGTTTGTGGCTTTGTGGGGGATGTAGGGAATCACATGAAAGTTTTTGGGGAGGGTAGAGGTGGGGGTTAGTACAGATTAGACCCTGGGTGGTCTTGCCCACAGATACACACACACACTACATGTCACTGTAGGGACAGATCACAGAGGGGGCGAATGCCTCAAGCAGATGGCAGAGCCTGGCAGACAAGACACAATGCAGGGACAAAAGCAAATGGGAAGTTGTCAGTTTTCTAGCCTAGTGCAGAGAGTATGAAGCATCGGGAATGGAGATGGGAAGGAAAGAGGACCAAAGTGAGATGGGAAAGCTGCCTCTCTGCATAGCTCCCCGAACCAGGCTTCTTCAGTCTACAGACACCAGCTGTTCGAGTAGCCATGTCTGATTTGATTACTGACAGGTTGTCTACTGCATGGGAGGGCTAGTCCCTGCAGGTTCCTCCCCTGCAGGGGATGCTAACTGAGCACCAGGCACAGTTTGAACTGCAGGGTATCCTGCCCTTCATGGGATTTTCTTGTCTGTCTCTAAATCAGCATAGTTTATGCTAGAGCATCTTGATGAGGCCTGGGAAAATTTCAGAATCCCCCCCTTTCGATTTGGGAGGAAAGGAAACCTAACAGTGCGCAATCTTGGTGTCAGAGGCTGTGGAGGGGGGCTGTGCAGATGATGCAGAGTGATAATCAGGTTCCATACCCTTTAATTCAAATCCAAGGTGCTCTGGCAGTGCAGAAGAAAGGAGAGTGAGAGGGGCAGGGGAGAGAGAATGAGAAAGAAGGGGAGGGCAGGAAAGAGAAAGAGAGAGAAAACGTTGGTCAGAACTCTTCAGACACTGGGCAGCCAGCCTGTGAGGTGAAAGCAGGTTAGTAGTTCCCCCTCCCAGCCTCCTGAGCTCCTTCCCTGGTCCCCAGTTCCCGAGTGACCCAAGAAGGCAAGAGAGAGGCCATGTTAGAGTTGGCAGGCAGGGAAGGGTCTTTAGAGGTGAGCAGTGGAGTTAGGACCTGGTGAGAAGGCACAGGCGCAAGAGTCAGTTGGCAAAGTCCCCTAGGAGTGGAGGACGAGCCGGGTGGGGTCCAAGGAGGAGTATCCAGTTCCCTTCTCCTGGCTCTAGTCCCAACCCTTCAGCATCCGCAGGCCCTCCTGAAGGCAGTCTGTCCCATTCCTAGCTCTTTCTTGGGGGTCCTTTTCATCTGTTCAAAATGAATGTGTTAGCCCCATGTCCCTGCTTTATGCCACAGGCCTACCTAGCTGTTCTGGTACAGCTCCCGTCAGTCTGAGTGAAGGGTTTTGGCATCTTAGGGGAGAAAAATGGGGTAAGGAAAAGACTCCAAGAAGCAAGTCATTGCTCCAGTTGACATCCCCTATACCCTGAGCTCCTAGGGTTGGGCTGTGGTACCCAAACCCATCTCACTACCTAGGAGAGCATCTACAACTCAGAGCACAGGAAGAGTGAGTTCACCTGTGCAGCACTTACACTTCTTACACCATGGACACATGACTGTGTTGGAAGTGAGGTTGTTACCTGATTGTGTGAGTTCAAGCCTTTGAAAGGTGGATGCTTACAACCTTGAGAGGTTAAATAAAAGGGCTTTGGTCTAAGGGTTAGTTCTGGGAGTCACATTGTCTGTGACTCTGAGAGATGCCCAACCTATCTAGGTCTCAGTCTCCCAGCTGCGATGGGGATCAAGCCTTGCCATGGGATCTTGGGAGGTCTGAAAGCCTGGCTGTGCTTCAGAACCATCAGGCCAATGGGAGATGGCCTGGGTGGGAGCCAGGAAGTCTTGGTGGTGTTTTAAAGACTTGCCTTCCCTTTTCAGGCACAGCCTGTTCTGTTCTACGGACCCAGGCCTCTGCTTCATCCCTACTTTGCTATGTGGATGTGGGTAATCCATGAGTCTGTTCTCTGCAAACAGCCAGTACACAGATGTGAGCAGGCCTGGCCATCAGGAGGTTAGGACATGTGTGTGCCAGGGCCGCTGCTCATACCTACCTGGGCACACTCCCTCACTAACTTTCACAGCAGTCACCTAGATCTGGTGAGGGTGTGACACTGGGTTTGACTTCTCATCTGCTGTGGAGGAAGGGCACCCTGAGCATTATCTGGTCCACTTCTTGGAACTTTCTGAAAGGGATTCCAGAGGGTTCTGTATTTGGAAAGAGCAGGAGAGTGGGTGGCTCTGAACCAAAGACCAAGAAGGTCCTGATCCCAAGAACCCCGAGGAAGATCCTGGGGTTTTGACCTGACCAATTCTGTGCAGAGGCCACACCAAGGAAGTGCTGATCCCAGAACTTCAAACACAAGGCCTCTGCATCTCTGCCACTCTGAAGCTGGGGTGATGCTGAGGATTTGGTTTCATTTTTGCTCTGACTTCTTGAAGCCCTAAGTGTAGCTCAGGGTCCTCTGACTGGATCCAAGGGTCCCACAGAGGTTCCCAAATAGCACATCCTGGAGCCTAGGACTTCGAAGCACTCAGAAGGATGTTACTGATGTCCAATCATGCTCACCCGAGGGACAGAAGACCAGCTTCACCAGGTTCTAAGTGCTGGTCTTTAGCTCACTTTCAGAAAAAGTTGGTGAAGTCTACGGGAAAGCTGGTGCCCTGTGGTGCCAGGATACTTTCTCAAAGTGATGCAGGAAATTGGGAGGCAGAGACTGGAAGGGACAGTGGGTCTAAGCTATGGCTGTTCCTGCTCAGGCTTGCCTGGCTGCTCCTGAGGATAGTGGCCACCTGGAGAAGCAAGCAAGTCTCTCAGAGCCCTCTGAAAATGTCCCACCAGGTCACTTATCTGGGAACCAAACTGTCAACAGCAGCTCCCAGGGGGCACCATTAGGGTGAGCCAGTGGTGGCTGGCATGATTGGTGAGGCAACTGAGAGTTTGGCTAGTTACTAGGTAGATGACTTTTTTCCTGGGAAGCCTGAAGACAGGTGCTGAGGGTCTACAGCTGTGTCTGTTGCAGTTAGGAGTGCAATCTCCTACTCATGTTTGTTTTTTGTTTTTTTGTTTTTTTTTTGCATGGCATTCAGCCAGGGTGGGGTGGTACCACTGAATCTCAGGCCAGAAATGTTCATATTGACCAGCAAATTGGATGTTGGATTTCCAGCAGGGTCAGGTTTCTTAGGAAATATGCCAATTTATTGTCTTGGATATAACCAATGGCAGTCATAAGGTGCCTGGATGAGGAGAAACTGATGTATGTGCTGGTATGAGCACATACTCTCTCTCTCTCTCTCTCTCTCTCTCTCTCTCTCTCTCTCTCTCTCTTTGGTTTTGTGTGTGGTCATACACATGTGGGATACAGATGGGCCAGCTTTCCCTTTCAGGAGGGCAGGGACCATAGAGAAAGAAACTTCAAAGTGCTATTGGGGTCAAAGGTTGTTTTCTTAGTCTCTGAAAATCTTGCCTGGGTTTGAGGTGGTTTGGGTAGGTGGCAGGGTCAGATGCTTTTCTCAGCAATGCTGGAAGGCACCCTCCCAGGACTAGTCTGCTTTCTGCCCTCCTCCTTGCCATCTACAGCTGGGAGAGATACGAAGTTGCCCTCTAGTGATAATGGCAGGCTCTCATATGCTTCAGAGGAGCCTCTCATATGCTTCACTTCCTCTTGACTGCTGCCTCCTAGACCTGGATGCCTCTATCCTCATTGTACAGATGAGAGAACAAACCCAGAACAAGTAGATAAGGCCCAGGACTAGGGATCTAGGGATCTGGTCTTTCTGGATGGGCAGCTGAGGACTTCAGGGGGCACAGGATGATGTCTTTGTGCTCCTCGTGTACTAGAACATTGTAAGGCCTTCAGAGAACACACTTGAAGAATAGGACTCCTGTATGGTACTGATGACACAGGCAGGAAGGCTGGATACTGCATCTGCAGGATTTTTTGGGGGCTCTGAGAGGTCTGCTGACACCTCCCCCCCCCCAGCTGTGATGTAGGCTAGGCTGACATGATCTAGGGGCTTTGCATAGCAGGCCATGTTCTGGAGGCTCTGCTGCTCTCGGATCTAGGGTTGGCTGGGACTGCCTGTCCAGAACAGTTTCCCAAGCTGTGTAGCTCTTGGCCAAGGGTAGAAAGGAACAGGTCCCCCACTGCCTCTCTCACTGGGCCCACCCGTGTCTGTCTGCTTCGTCCTCTCTTGAGACTCCCCCTGCCCCAGAGCTTCCCACATAGGCCGGATCTGAT